ATCATCTACTTGAAGTTTCCAAAAAGTTAGAAAATGTTAATTATTAGCTTTTTTAAAAGTAGTTTTGGACTAAAATACCATACCAGCGATGGTAAAACAGGCACTGAGCAAACAGTAATATTAGTAGTTATCTAGATAGAAAATTCCTTGGGTTAAAAAAAAATAACTTTTAGACTTTAATGCAGACCGTTCCCTAGAGGTTTGCTAAAATAACATTCTTCTCTGTCCTTATTAGCATCTGAGTTATAAAGTCACAGCAGTCTCATCAGGGATTTAAACAGTACTTTCAGGCACTGTTTCTATTTTTTGAATCAACAAAACAACTAATCTTGCTATTTTTCTTCCCTATTCACCTACCTTGCTTCATTCTGATAAAGTCCAGCTAAGACACGGCTTGTGAAGCTGGACAATTGCATACCCAGGATGCAAAGGTTTTTGTTATTCTAATTCTATTAGACTCACATAAGCCTCTGAGGAGCCTTCTTCCAATCAAGATGACAGGAGCCTGCATTAGAAACCTATTTGCCTGACCACTGACCAAACCAGAGACAATTCAGCTCTGTGAGGACTGATTTTGATAAAAAGCCAGATGCATTTCTTTTCTTTTTCTTACTTTGCAAGTGGAATTAGCAGGAAAAAAAGATACAGAAATGTAATACAAAGTAAAAGAAAAAAAACTTGCTTATGAAAAGAGGAGAGGCATAAAACGGTGGGCTGACAACAGAAGGATGATAGCAGTACACGTGGAAGAAAAACAAAGAATATTAAGGGAGTGAGGCGTTGTATCTAAGAAATTAATTTTAGCATGAGGAATGACAAAAAGTTAAAGCAAAATCATCCCTTAATGAAGCATAAAGTATAAAAATTAATGCTTCCCTGTTTCTCCTTTGACTGAAAATGGATCTCTTCCTGTCTGTCATACAATTAATTCCCTTCTGTGAATATTGTTAAACTTTAAATCCAGGGGAAAAAAAAATCTTCTGTTAAAAATACATAGAAGATAGTGAAAAATGTCTATTTATTTTCAGTACACCATTTCTGTCAATACCTGTTTGGCTTCTATGAGCACGCACCGATTTTGATGCACCCGTACATTCTCCTTTTTCCTACGAATCTGAACACCCCAAACATAATACTACGTCATGAAGACTTGCTTAGAACGCTTGGATTTGCCAAATCTGAAGTTCTGAAATACACCTTGGTGGAAAGAGCGCATGTTTAATCAAATTAATCTAAAATATATAAATATTATATATAGTTATATATAAATTACTTTTTATAAATGTAATAGTATATAATCAAACACTAGAAAATATTGTTTCCCACAATGGTTCCACTTCCAGAAGGATTTTTACAGATATTTAAAAGCCATCTTGTCTACTGTGAAAAATGTGAAAACTGAGGAAAATAAAGTTGCCTTTACATTATTTCTTCTATATGCATCTTGAATTTCACAAACCACGTTCTTCTCTCTCATTACTCTACATCCAAGTCCAAGATAGCAAGAACTAGTGAAATGGGCTGAACTGCCATTAAATTACAGAAAGCCAGCTCTACAATTTCTCATCAAAAGTGAAGCTTTCTGAGTGCTTAAAAGTAGCACCTAAATGAATGGCAGATGGCAAAACATGAAACAAGAATAGATCTAGATGATGGTAGTAAAAGGTATTTTATAGTGAGAGCCTTTTATCCTTGGGAATAATCTCTATTGCTGAAAGTCCAACCCATGACAGTAGCGCTAGCGATCACTGATGTCTTTGCCAGTCCTCGTTGTAGCATTCAGAACTGGACGGGACTAGCAGAGCTAATTATGCACGGCTGCAAATCCAGTCCTCAGCATTCCTCAGGATCAACGAACCTGCCAGCGACAGGGAGGCTGGAAGCAAATGCATCCCACGAATGCTGTCCCACAAAACTGGCTGGAGAACAAAGTATTACCACAAGTAGACACAGAACTTTCTTTTTCAATATTTTTCCATTCACATATCCCACCTAAGAAGAAAAGTTACTCTAAAAACAAAAGATTTTTTTTCCCCTCCTACGTGTTTGAGGTGACTACAGAAAGAAGGTAAACGAGTTATTTCTATTTTTGTTGCAAATGAACTGGTTTGATGAATAGCCATGTGTAAACTATGAATACCTGAGAAAGAAGAAGAATAGAAAGAAGGAGAATAAATCAGTAAGACAACATGATTGTTTATGTTTGCTATATAATTGACAGTCAGGTTACAATTTTCCATTAATATTTTGAATCATACAGCACAGGGATGAAAATTATTTTCTTGAACCACCTGAAAAGTAAAGCATTTATCTCTTTGGAATTTATCTTGCGTAGCTGTAAATGTAAAACTTCAGAATTACCAAAAACAGTGCTAGATAACTACCAGCTATTTCACCCTGATTTCAAATTCTGTTTTTGAGCTCCTATATACTACCAATTTAGATACTGTAAAAAAGAGGGTGTTCATGTTCATGTTGCACTCGATTGGCCTTTATATTAAATGCTAGTGTTCCAAAAGTTTTTGTTTGGTTCAAACTATAATATAGAAAAAGCAAATATTGCCACGAAGCCACAGTTTAGTCCATTTTTCTCACTAGGGTTTGACAACAGAAGCCCATGAGGATTGAACACTTTCCGAAAGGAACATCTTGGGAAGATCTTGCAAGGGACACGGAAAAACAACAGATCAGAGCCTTAAAATTTAGTTTTCAGAGTCTTCAGTGAGTAAACTTAAGGGAAATAAGGAGATAACATTAACAGTGTTTTCCAGGAAAGGTCAGCTTGGCAGGATTGCTCACGCTATCTATCAACAGTATGAGGCGGGAGAAATCCCTTCTGCATGGATTTCATACTTAGAGCCACATAATACTTTGCATCTCAAACCTAAATGAACATCTGAATTATACCTGAAATTCCCTTACTTTTACACATTAACACTACTTCTATAACCTGGAAAAACTGTCTCCATTTGACATAGTCCCAGAAGTCACTCCTCTCCAGGCTTACCCACTGTGTACTCAATACTGGTCATGAAATACAACCAAGGAACTTCAGCTCATTTTGTACGCAGTGGCTGCATATCCCAGTTCTGCCTCCTCTGCAGAGACTCTTGCCTTCAAGAATTTCTTTCAAAATCCAGCCCCTCAAGTGTTATCAGAGCTTGTCTTCCTGTCCTGTCTTCCACCAGGAAATACTATTTAGGGTACCCATAAAATGTAGGAGTAAAATGCATCAAAATCAACCCAAACCTTGATATTAGAAGGAAGAGGCAGACCTGGTGAGTTGTTTGGGGTGGTTTTTTGTACTGCTTTAGTTTTGGCGTGGGGGGGGAAGGGGAGTTTGATTTTTTGGGTGGGTGGGTTTTTTGTTTTGTTTTTGGGTGGTGTTTTTCCTTTTTTTTTCTTTCTTGAGTGATCGACGAGTGATGATCAATACATATACAGATTTGATACATTTTCTCAGATGCAGCCAGCCTGTGCTGATTCCGTCAAGAAGTAATCTGGGACTAGGTAGGATAGAATTTCGATTCTTTTCTATGAAAGTTTATACATAAGGCATTTAAATACCATTGAGTCCAGAGCAATCATGTATACTTATATGCACAGACACCATATCTTGCAGTCACATGATATTTTACTGACTCTTGCAACCACAATTTGCATACAATTTATCAGCACTACCAGCAATGCCTGCAGTTAAAAGCTGGAGTTTTTCATGCTTCTCAGTGAAGTAGAAAGTATATGCAAGCAGATGATTTTTGACTGAGGCTTATATTTATTTCAGCAAACCAACCAGAAATGCCTTTCACTTCACTGAGTGGCTTCCCACTAGTTGCCAACTGATGCAACCTTTTTGAACATTTTTAAGAGCAAGTTCTGTTCCACAGAGTTTCATGGACAAGTTTTGAAACCAGTACATAATGTTTCTAACTACTAAAAGCTATTTCAAATTATTTTTTGTGTGATATTAAACAATTTATATAAATATTTACTATGGCAGGAATGAAACGTTTTTGTGTTATATAGGCCGACTCTCTGACATGCTCCCATATGTATATACGGATACCCACTATATACTTTTTTGGCTCCTAATTCTTAGCAGAGTATCACAAACTCACTTTATGTCCCCTAGTGCCAGATTTTACGTTTACATGACATGTGCAATACAGCAAGCAGACAGAAAGGCTCCCCCTTGGCCCTCTCTGAGAACACTGCCATGAATTGTTCACTCTAGCAAATACCAGCACAGTTAATGAAATTAATTTTACTTAGTAAAATTTGGGATACCTACACTTAGTTTTAAGAGGAACACTGTTTATGTGAGGAAATAAAATACACTATTTGGTGACGCCCATAATCTAGACACCACTGCTGTACTGCTTATGCAAAATGCCACCAGCTTTTCTAGTGACATTATTAAATGGTGATACAGAAGATTCCTCTATAGGAATAGGGGCACCACGTGTTTTGAAAAAGCAGCATAACTGAATTTTGGGAAAAAAAAGCACCACATACATGCTGGCACTGATTAAGCTCCATCTGTGCCTGAAAGAGAATTAAAGTGAATTAAGTGTCTATCATGTGTTCTCTCAGCCAGCTCTATGCCCTTGAACAGACATCCTGTCAATACTTGATACACAAATGAAGAAAACTCTGGTGTATTAGTTTCTTCTTAAAAGGCTTTCAATGGGAAAAACCTTTTTTCTTCCCCTTCATTTAATGGCCTAACAATATTTGGTGGAAGAATGCTGTCATCTCAGTACTTACAGACATTTTCTCTCCTGTTAAGGTTACATATGTCAGAATAAAGGACATATAGCACTGGCCAAAAAAAAGTTTTTATACGCAAGAATGTAAGTATGCACAAAAAACCCAACAACTGATGATTACATATATTTCTATTGCCCAATAAAATCTCTTGCACTCCAATACCATAAACTTATCTCTGCAGAAGACATTAAAGTGCACAGTTGAAAGCACAGAGATATAGAAGCACTTACATTTGCACTGTGATCATTTCCACTAACACAGACGACATCTTGTTTTTGAATTGTTAATACCTCTTTTGTAAGCTTCAGTCGGATGTCATAAGCATTTTCGGATACTTCATCATACAACAATGCAATACCAGTTTTAGTCTGCGAAAGCAAGGCACAGAAACAAAAATTTAAGAATATGAACATTTAATAATGATCAATAACAACCTCCATCCCATTCAATATATAAAATGCATATAAATGAGCATTGTTTACAGAAAGTGGAAAACTGGTCTGCTTTTCAGTCTTCAAATGGATTGGACAGAAAAAGCCTCTTCTGTACTGTATAATACAGGCTAAATAGTCTTTTAAGTAGACATTAATATGTAAAAAAAAAAAAAAAATCTCCATTGTACTGTTCCACAAAGGATTGTTGTCATTGAATGATATCCTACTTGTTTTTAATTGTATGACTTATTATGAAACTATATTAGAAGCAGATAGGTATGTATAAATGTATGTGAACACATTTTCCAGTTTCAGCAAGAAGTGGGGAAGTGCAATGCTGTTCCTGAATTTGAAACGTTCCTTCCACTGTGTCAGAAAAAGACCTGTACCCTTCATAAATGTTACCTTTAAGATATGGAGTAGAAAACTATGTTTTCACATTGTAAAATGCACAAATGAATACAGGTGTTACAGAATTTCTATTTGTTTAGGTCAAGATGGACATAGATTTCTGAAGTTACATCATCACTGGACTAATGACTAGTAAACTCTATAGGATAGTCAAGTGTTTGGTACAAACAATGTTTTCTCCATGAGTAGTAGAAAAGAAATTCTATTTTAATTTTTGGTTTATTTACTTACGCACAAATTTCCCACTAATACTCAGTCAGGTATTTCCTTAAACAAAAACTGTGGAATTAGGACTGCTTATAGCTATTTGTTAAAATAAGCAGACTAATGCAATTTCAGAGTTTTACAGTCACTGCACAGAAGAGAAAAAGCAAAACACCTGTTCTGAAATGGATGATCATCTTTTAAAGTAGTATTTGTTTATTAATTTATAATGTATATAAGCATCATCACAACACTGCACTTTCCTCTATGCAATTTAAGAATAATCAAGCATAATTTAGGGTTTAGTTGCACCATTTGTTTTTAAAAGATGATTTAAAATCAAGTTGTTAATCTATGTTTTGTTAAATAGTAGACTGTGTAAAGAACAGAGTAATGGAATTAAAGAAGAAACATGTCCTGCGCACTGAATGAATGCTTGAGGGATTTTAAAATAAAATTAAACATGGAATATTATCTTCATAATAATATTTTAATTTCTATAAAATTAGGAAGAAAGGTCTGTGGTGATTGTCAATAAAACCTTTTGGTCTTTAAAGGCAGGATCAGTTTAAGCTTAAGGCACTTAAATTAGGACGTGGTGTAGCTCTACACAGCAACCAAGCATCAAAGCCTCCCTTATAGTAGAAATGGAAAATGCAGCCTAGAGAGCAATTCAATTTACCCTGAAGTATATACACAGCAGTTGTTTAGCTGAATTGCTCATGTGGTTCTGCTGTCCCTGGGCTCAAAGCAGTTGTCCCCATGTAGGCCACTGCTGCCACTTAAGACACTTCAGGATATCTAAGACCTCCACGCATGTAAGGCTGAAACAGGCTTTTTAGGACATCCAGGTCCTTCTCTAGCTGGAGGCAGGACCAGATTTCCATTATTGTAACAGGATACAGACATCGGCCATGCCAGCAGACATCCACATGTAAGTATCTTCAGCTTGAAATGGATCTCACCAAAGGATTACAGTGCAGAAATCCACATCTAGGACAGCCATTTAGATTCTGTCAAGCAAGTGGTAAGCAACAGACACCTCTAAGCATGATTTACCTGATCTCTTTTATACATCCATCTAAAAGGGAACAAATTGCATCATAGCTCTCTGCTTTGACTTAAAAAAAAAAAAAAATATAAGTAACAACTCAGACACAAGTGTCTTAATTCCGGGCAGATAAATCTTGTCCTTAGTGTTTGCTGGGAATGCCTAAAGAAAACAAAGTTCAGTGAGGGTCTAAAGCCTTAATCATTCTCACTTGTTTGGAAACCAACATTTCTTCATTTTCCCAAGGTTTTGAAATTTTTTAAATTTCCAGCATGTGTGGATGTTTTATCAATACAATTTTGTGAATGACAACGTATGAAAACTGTGCCAACATCATCCGCTTAAAAGCCATGCTGCATAACAGCGAGTATTTTCAAACAGTAGAAGAACTGCCTTGAAAAACCAGTCCCCGCATTTTGGTGCTATTCAGAGGTTGTGCATCGCTATCCCACCTGGACTGGCAACCACTGTTACTTTTGGTGACATACCAGAGCATGCTTTACAGAGACATCGAGAGAACAGAGCTCTAGAGAGCTCTTTATACAGCCTAAACTCAGAACATTTCTCTGGCTAGTAATCGTTACCTATGTTTAGAAGTAACACAATGAAAAAAACCCTGAACTTTCATTTGTAACAGATGATCAAGTAACAAATGAAATATGTAGAGTGACCAATTAAATAGCAGTATTTTCCACCACACTACTTAAACTGAAAGTCTCACTGAAGCTCATCTGTTCCTATTAAAATCCAATACCTACCTCACACTTCATCCAACTCCTGACGTGATCCAAGATGATGTGCAGCAATACCTTATTTGCTTTCAGAATCAGTAAGATTAATGTAGATTTCTCTCAGCCTTTCAAGTTGGCTTTTTTTACACCATTATAAATGGCTTTGAATCAGAGTTCAGCACATTCCCTTGTTCTCTCTTTGTGTTAAAGAGATGGCGTACGTAACTCTAGTGGGCAAATCCCAGCCCAGACAAAGCGCTCCTTCAAAAAGGATCTTTTAATGAGAACTTGGTCTTTGCATGTACATGTATATCCAGCATTTTAACTATGCTATGTTTGTCTTGATTTATCATTTAAAAACTGTCTATACAGTAGCCATTCTAATAACTGGTATTAGAAAGTGAGGACTGAGCAGCGGAAATAACTCCCCAAAATTATGTAGTAATGTTAGGGATCATATACCAAATTTACATGCGTTTTGTAATAAAAAACATGCAGAAAGTGCATAGGGAGTTGCATCTCAATAGGATTTAAGTGCTTACAATGAGAGGTAAATATAAGTACATATATTACATATATATATACATAAATACAATGAGAGGTTAAATATAAATTTAAACTCACTTGGGCAGATGAGGAAATTAAATGTTGATTTTCCTATCTCTGACAGTTTTCTAGACGCTGACCTCAGGAAGGGGGGGTGTGTGGTGTGCACGCCCACATACATGGTGGGAGGAAGAGAAAGGGAGATCAGTAGCACAAGCATCACAGTAGCTGTGACTTTTAAGCAAGCTTAGTCACTGCTCTGTTTTTGAAAGAAAAAAAACCACTGAAACCTACTTTCTCAAGCAAGCTCAAAAACCGTCAATACCACAGAGAAGAAAACATCACTCTCTAGAGGGAGCTAGAATTGCAGACAAATCCTTTTATCAGTTTTATTGTTGACTACTTAAGTCAGGTCCCCAGCCAGTGTACTTGCTTTAAAGCGCTCCCCGCTCAGCATAATGTTTTGGGACCCCACTCAAGATACCATAACTCTTTCAATGCACTGTATCTGCAGCCTAAAGCTCACAGATGAAAATTCTGTTTTGAAGTAGGCATCTCTAAGTCAAACTTCAGTCTTACTGGCATAAAATACTTGTCTTCACTGCTGTAAGTTTTATTTTGAAAAAGCTTGCAAAAAAATGAGGCAGAGTTTAAAAGTGGTGTTGAGGTGTACGAGGTTTCCTATAGAAACTATTTACTTGTTTATGTCCATTTGTTTCTCAAATGCACTAGAGCTGTATTTGTCAGGCTTTTCATGCTAGTAACTGTTTGAAGGGAGGCAGAAAATGTTCAAGACTCTTACAGATGATCAGAAAATTCAGAGGAGATTCATGATAAAATCATATAATATATTTGTATGCATTCAGAGCAGATGTCAGAGTACATGCAGTGCTGTGGTACTATTTTGATTTAAACTGTGAAGTTCTCAGTAACTCCAAATCTCTCATTCCCTCTGCCTAAGTGTATTTTAGCAATTGTGATCACTACTGCTGCCAACTAAATGGAGTATTAGTGTCTTAGATCCTTATAGATCCTACAAATGGATCATCTGGAGTTTCCCCTAGTTTATCTAAAAAATCCTCTGTGTTGAGTTACATTGATCCTCCAGCAGAAATCACCATTTACTCATCTTCATCCTTAATAAATATATCCATAGCTTCAGTGGCATGGCAGTTCATTTTTTAACTGCTAAAATACGTTTATAAATGATCTTTCTTCATTTGTAAATAAAATTCTTTAAGCACTATATTTGAACTTTTTTTTCCAACTGAAATTCCACATTATATTTCCAGACAAATATTTTATCCGCAATATTTACACCTCAGAAGTCTAGTGATAAAATTCTCTAATCCAATTTCAATTTCTTTTCATGAAAACAACTCTGTTGAAATTCCGTGTCTGTGGTATACTGATGGTTGGAACACTTGCTGAAGACACATGAGAACTGGAGTCACTGATTTTTATCCTACATCACTTCAGATTAGGCAGAAAGAGAATATAGTCCCACATAGCCAGTGCTCTGACCACTAAGTTACAGCAGGCTCAAATTTACTCTCTCTCTCGTAACTGGTTTGATATGTTTTCTACGCCACATCTCCTTTCGTGATCAAAAGACAAAAGTCATTTTCTCAGAGGACAGAATTCAGATTTAGAATAGCCTTGACTGACATAAAAAAAAAATTAAAAAATGGGATGAAGTGTAACAGAAAAAAAAGTGCAAGGTGCTACACTCTAGGAAGAACAGTCACTTGCATGGAAGAAGAAAAGCTTTTCTTCACCATTTTTTAAGGAAAGGAAACAGGTAGGTAGCAGTCAGGATTGACAGCAAAATATTGGCATCAATATCTTCTTGTTGCAATAAAGGCGAACATATTTTGACTGCTCTCCTTCAGATTCTTTCCTATTGATTTGCTTTTTCTTGCTCTCACAAGACAGTGCTCAAAAGTAAACACAGTTCTTCAGCTGGGTAGTACAGAAGGTTCCTTAAACACTGATGACTGTGAGGGAGGAATAATTTCATGCCCATGAAGTCATCCATCACCAGTGTTGCATTTAATACGTCCCAGTACATTGTTTCCTTTTTTATAGTGTTTATTATGTCAGTGTTGATTCATGGCTACACTACATAGAAGAGGTAATGAACTGAAAAGGGTCATGAGAAACACAAAAAAATTAGAAGTGATGAGAGATCTGGAAAATAGGACCTGTAAGTAATTCTGCACAAATTCGGGTTGTTTAGTTTAAAGACAGAATACAAGAGGACATAATGACAGTTTTAAGTACTTCAAAATCTATTGCAAAGACAAATGGAATAATCAGATAAGAAAATAATTCAGAAATCTCCTCCTTTTAACATATTCCAGCTACAAGAAAACTGAAGTTCTTGAACAGATTGCTGGGACAGATTACAGACATTCATTGCTAAGGGATTCTGAGAGAAAACTGAACAAACATCTGCCCAAATGGTACAGGTACTAACCCTCTCACAGGGCAAAATCCCAGAAAAGACAATTTATTTCAGATCTATTTGTCTCTGATGCTAATATTCAGAATTACATGACTTCTTGCACATGACTGAACCTCTACATCCAGGAGAAAGCCTGAGTGGCTTTAGAAGGACACCTGCACTGAACAACTTGCAACTGCCATAGGAGAGATGAAAAATAACTACTAAGACCTCAAGAAGTTTATCATTTAGGGGCCTTAACAATGGATGAGTGACATCTACAATAAAATTTGTTAATAATCGTAATTTTTATAGCACTTAATCTGAAGGAGGACTGTACCCTAAGAAGAACTGTACCTTTGTCTTTCATGACGAGAAGATAATTCCAGGCTTAAGGGGCCTTGAGTGAGAACACAAATACAGGCTTTTCAATGGACCAACATGGGACAAATGGATGAGGACAGCAGCTATGCAGTGAGAGCGGTTACACAGCTGTGGAACGCAGAAAATTAATGATTCCATTAGCAGCGTAAGCACACAAAGAACCATTCAGTAAAACTAAAAGCAGATACAAGACAGAGATTAATTATAACTTTCTGAAATTAGTTATATGGCGCTCCCTTACAGAGAATGTTTTTCCTGTAAATATACATGGACTTGTCCTTTTTCTCAGCTTTAGCATACTATGGCTTTTACACCTACTGACACTGTCTCACAACTGCTGAGACAAAAATTCTTGACCTTAATACTTTTTCCTTTAAGAAATTCTGACTATAATGATAATGAAGCCCTTAAACAGACTATTCAGATAGGTTACGGTTTCCCAGTACTAGGAGGGTGAGGGGTTCTATGAACAAGTCAGAACCACCATCTGTAAAAATGCTATGGAGGACAAAATGGTATGGATTTGTCCCATATCTTAGAGTAGTTCAAGACTCCCATAGATCAGGAGAGAAAACATCATTTTACCATCACAGGTAGGACGGACCTTGAGAGGTTTGAAGCCCAACCTCCAAGCAAGGCAACTATGCAATCAGCCCAGGCTGAAAGCCTCTAAGGATGGAGGCTGCTCAGCCTTGCTGGGCAACCAGCTCCACTGCTTGACTGTCCTCATGAGGAAAAGCTTTTCCTTGTATCTGATTTCAAGTTCTGCTTGTCCTGCCCACCCATGTGCCATTGTGAAGAGCCTGGCTCCATCTTCGTGACATCTCCTTGTTGACATGGAAACACTGCCTTTAGGTCCTGCTGAAGCCTTCTCCAGGCTGAACAAGCCCAGCTCCCTCACAGAGCAAGTGCTCCCAGCCCCAATCAGCAAGGCTCAACCTTGGTTGCTCCAGGTTATCAATGTCTTTTTTGTATTGGGGGAACCAAAACTGCATGCAGTATTCTAGAGGCAGTCTAGTGAGTGTTGGGTAGAGAGGGATAATCCCTTCCCTTGATCTCCTGCTTGTGCTCCTCCTAATACAGCCCAGGAGGCTGTTGACTTCTCTGCTGCCAGGGCTCACTGCTGGCTCAAGTACAACTCACTGCCCACCAGGACCCCCAGGGCCTCTTCAGCAGAGCTGCTGCCCAGACAGGCAGGCCCCAGCCTGTGTCGTTGCCAGGGGCTCTTCCTTCCCAAGTGCAGGACTTGGCATTTGACTTTGTTGAATTTCATGAGTTTAGTTCATGAATTTCTTGAATTTCCTGGCAGTCCATTTCTTAACCTGCCTAGGTCTCTGTCAATGGTGTACTGACTGCACCCTCCAATTTGGTGTCATCAGCAAACTTGATGACCAAGCCCTCCGTGACTTCTTCCAGGTGACTGACAAAGATGTTAAAGAGGACGGGTCACAGGGTAGACCCCTGAAGAACACCACTTGCCACAATAATCCAGGTAGAGGACAAGCCATTAATGACTATCCTCAACCTGAGCATCTAAGCAGTTGTCCACCCACCCATCTAGACTAAGGCTATAGCAATAGAGTAGCAAATGGGTATATTTATTTTGTCATGCCAAAATAATAATAAAAGCAATAATAATGTTAATAACAAAACTGACATTTTTTTATTTGACACATGAATACATAAAGAACATGATAATCTAACTAAAAAAAAAAGATCAGGAAAAAAATCATTGTCACTGCTTATAGTCACTACATTCACTACAGGTAAAAATGTCAGATGATACGGAAATGATTTGGATGAGATCAGTGCTTTGGATCAGACACCTTTCTGCTCTGAAGTACTACGGCCCACCATCACCAGTATCATGACCATCCAATTTCCATGTACAGCAATGCCATTACACCTATGAGGCCCAGCAGTGCTGCCATTATATCCGTTAGGCCCAGCAGTCCTGCTTACCCCATCTCAGAGCCCAAGGGCCAGGACTATGATGGACACACCTACAGTCGTGGCAGGGGCCACAACCCCCACTTCACGCCCTCCATACGCACGCAGACACGTAGCCCACCACCAGCTGCTTCCGCCTCCCTTCCCAACAAGGAGAAGAACTGCAGCGGGGACCGCAGCACCAACATCTTGCTGCACCATTGCAGCTGATGAAACTTGTGGCTGCCCCAGCGGTCCAGCCGTTCAGCTTTCATCCGTGCCTGAAGGGAAATATTTTCAAGTAGCTTGAAGGGAAATATTTCAAATTAAAGTAAAACCAAGTTAAGTCTGAATTTCATTCCAGCTGGAAAGCAACTGCCAATGTTAATTTTTAACAGTGGATTATTTTCAGTATCGCAAAATCAACAAAAAAAACCCTTTTAATCTAGAATAATATTCAACCAAACCAACTTAATAGCTGCCTAACTTTTAAGATGTACTTGGAACATATGCATCTTCTTTCAGCTCCTGTTTAAAACAAGCAAACCCTCAAGCCAAACTCACCAAAAATTAAGAAAAAAACCCAAACCAACTGCTTTGTAGCCTCAATGAGTAAGCAGCTAGTAAGAGTACTTATCTTTGTCTTACTATTTTTTTAAATACTCTTGAGCATTTCAAGACTGACATTAGATTGTGCATTTTTATTAGAGTTGTAACTCCATTTCATAGTTTCATAGTGTTCAGAATCACTGTTCTCAGTTAGTGAAGATCACAAATTCCTGATAACCCATTTTAAAGAGGTTATTCACATTCACAACAGAGCCAGTGAAATACATCTGATGGACATCACTGATTCCAGAGTAAGTCAATTAAGACTAAAGTTACTGAATTACAATACATTGTAAATTTTCAATACAGTATATGATAAGAATCAGCATCACAAATAAAGATGGTCAAGAACAGATATTCAAGAAACATTTGAGTGCATTTTTCCCAAAAGCACAGATTATATCTGAAATACGCACCTTGGAAATTACTGTTTTCATAAAGATTTTTCTTATTTTTTTATGTCTGCATTTATTAACAATATTATGGATTGACATTTCACTACATACAGTTGTAAAAGGTATATTAGCATTACAAGTTTTTAGAAGATTTTAACTGCAGCGTGACAATATCACGTTCTAGCAATTCAGAACAGAGTTCTTCCTAAATTTTGAAGTGGCATATAGAAATCTACAAGAAAGAATATTAACTCAAGGTAACAGAAGTTTGAAAAGATGCTCTCAAAATACAACATTTAAAAGTCTATTTTGTTGCTTACATCACAGCCTGTCCACCAAAAGCTCTTAAAAATAGCCTTAGGGGTAGATTGTTGGGATTTTCTGTTAATGACATTGCCTTGCAAGAAAAGTGATTAACAGCTGGCTCTCAATCTGTGTGATCTTAATCATTAGAAAGTAAGCAGTAATGTCTTGTTTAATTACTGCAAGCTCAGTGTGTCATGAGTTAATTAGATAGGATTGATTATTGTCATCCTCATGCACCTCTCAAAACATCAGACACAAATATTTGAATCCTGTAACGCATGTTTGGAAAATGAACTTTCAGAATGTCACGTTGAATAAAAATTGCCTGCTTAAAAATTCTAATCAATGCTAAATAATAGTGCGACATAGTTGAATATGTTAGCATACAGATTCTATCCCAGAAAACAGCCAAGGCACAAACTATTAGAAAAATTGCCTAGTTTTATTTTGATTTAGATAATATCTTTAAGTAAATTGCTTGCTTATTACTACACCTCATTTTTCAGACAACTGGACAGTAGCACAGAATTAAATAGCCTAAGAATATAAAGATGCTCCTATGCTTACAACAGGTTCATACCAGTTAAACAAGAAAGCATAAATTTCACACTTCAAACTAAACCACTTAGCAATAGATGAAAAAGACCACAAGAACATTCTCTTTGGAGATTATTTAAGAAACAGCTAAGAGATAATCAGAAAATTAATGTGATCATTTCTATTGCTGGTACCACGCAGCTCACCCTGGTAGGACTTCAGCTGATTAATAAACACTCCTGTTGATATATCAAAAGGTAAATGAAGAACTGGGAGTATAATTTAAAAAAACCCATCCATTTTCTTAATCTAGAATAAACAAGTATGGCCAATATAAAGGCATCACGGTTTTTGTAATGGAATAGCATTATTAGCAAAATTAATCAAAATTCATCCCACTCTTGCTATCCTTCCCCTTTACACTGATACAGCTCCATCATATTCATTCTCTTTCAAGCTTTTGCATAAAATTGGGGGTTTTTTATTCTATTAAACTGTGTTGTGTTGTTCTGCCAAAACCAACTAAGCAAAGCCATATCTAACTGCTTAATTTCTGAATAAGGTGGGTGTAAATATTTCTAGCTTCTTTCTAAATTTAAAGTGGCAAAATTAAATTCTATGGTGTCATCACCCTAATATGAATTCTGCAATGGCAAAGAAATCCATATCACCATTATAGTAAGAACTTCTCATACTGTATTGGTTTCTAGTGCTACTGGACATAGCAAGATTTCGGCAAAGATTAATCACAGGAATACAATAGGATTTAAAATAGAGTTCCTAACCATTAAAGTCAGTCTAGCGGGAAAAAAAAAAGAAAGGAAAAACCCCACAACTTTTACTTACACCTGTAATTATTGTTTTTACAGGCCAGCTGCTCAGATAAACCCAGAGGTTGGAAGTGAAAATCCTTTTAGCCATGCGTTTGGCTGCTAGCTTGGAAAGAAACGAGACAGTCCAATTTCATGCTTTATCCAAGGACTTAATGGCATGTTTAATTTTAACCTCTGTTAAACCTTCTTCTTCTAGTCTTGGCTGCAATTCTCAAATGTAATTGTGATGATCAGTAACTTTTTCATACTTTCTGTATTTAACAAACAGAACATTCCTAAAGTACATCAAACTGGCTGAAACACTGAGTATGGGGGATGACTTATCAATAAGAAAACAACCATTTTAATTACTGAAATTAATAAAGGAAAACATAAACTAGAGGCATTATAGAGGAGAAAAGTATAAGCTACCTAACAAGATGGATTAAATTTATGATCCTCTACAAAATGTAGTGGAATTGGCAGAGAATGGCCAAGTAAGATAGGAGCCAGGCAGGTAAGTTTCTAAGAAGTTAAAATTTAGACGGCAATCTCATATTCAAAAGCAAAAATCAGAGCAGCAGCTAGACAGCCATTATTAAAAGGTGGAGAAGAGTCTGATTTATAACTGATTGCACGTCATGCCATGAAAAAAGATGAAACAGACTGTTTACACCTAAATTTCAAAACCAAAATGTCCTGTAACAAGAGTACATTACTGACAAACACCTACAGTTACATTCTGTTCTTAAGGGAGGTTCCTTAGGAATAATGTCAATAGAAAAAATCCAAAAGATATACGTGCATATACAATTTGTATATAGTTGATTAGTATGTTATAAACTTTACAAAGAATGGACTTTTTCAAATGGATATACAAGTTTTCAAACAATTAGTTTCTGAGCTTGCTGGGACTTCTCCACGGCACTTACTGAATTTATTAAATCATCTTATCAGTTAGTGATAAGCACACAAAGATGGGCTAGTCTCAACTGAATCTTCTGCAACAAGAAAGCCTTTAAACAAGCAACTATTATATTAAACCACTGTTAAATGTAAGTCACTTCCATAATCTTCTAGAATCAAGCCCAAACTAAAAAGTAGTATTGAGAATCAATTATAAATAGATAGATAGATGTTCACAAAATGCAGAAGCTGGAAAAATACCTGCAAATATCAGAGATGGAAAATAAAACTCAGCTCCAACTAGGAAAAAAGTACTAAAGCTTACTGCTGGGGACAAAAACTAAAAAACCGAAGAAATAACCAGATTAAAGATCTTAAAAAGGTAACCTTCAGAAACTGGAAGCTTATAAAGAAAATATCAGAAAATAAACAGGAAATCTGGGAACAACTGAAGGTTTTCCGGAATACCGAGTAATTGAAAAAAAAAATGCAGGTAATGTAAGTATTGAAAATTAAGTGATTTCTCTGAATTAGAGTTCTTCAGATGAAGATTTCTTAAGATGAAGATTATGTATTCTAAACCACTCTTCAAAGAAAATTGTCCTGGTTTCAGCAGGGATAGAATTAATTTTCTTCCTAGTAGCTGGTACAGTGCTGTGTTTTGGATTTAGGGTGAGAACAATGTTGATAACACACCGATGTTTTAGTTGTTGCTAAGCAGTGCTTACACTAGTCAAGGACTTTTCAGCTTCCCATGCTCTACCGACTGAGAAGGCTGGAGGTGCACAAGAAGCTGGGAGGGGGCACAGCCA